CGGGGGGGGGGCAGCAGACAGGGGGCTGGGGGCTCTTACCTCGGCGTAGATGCACTTGAGGAACTCCAGCTGCTGCCGCAGGAGACCCACTCTCACCTCCAGCTCCTCCTTTGTCAGGTAGAGACAGTCCACATCCTGGAGAGACACAATGTATTTGGGTGAAAAAAGGTGAAAAAACAAGGAGTGCGGCAAAGCCCATGTTTGATGTTGGATTTGGAGGAAACCCCACCATTTCCAACCCTTATGACTACTTGGGTTTGTGTTGTATGATCTTACAGCCTGATGGGGGTTCTCCAAACTCATTGGGTCACCTCTATTTTGGGGCTACCCGATGAGGGCTCAGGCAGCATCGTGGTGCCAGGACCCCCCAGTTTCTCTCCCTGGCCCCACACCTGGGGTTTGCCCAGGCAAAACCCCCCACTCTCAGCCCATCTCATCCTGACTCACCTTCTTGAGGACCACAAACTCGTTCTCCGCAGCCGTGCGCTTGTTGATCTCATCTTCATACCTGCGGGAGGAAAGGAGAGGGGTGGGATGCTGAGCCCCGGGGGTCCTGTCCCCACCACCCATGGGGCCAATGCAGAGAGTGGGGGAGCGTGAGTAAAACCAGAGCCTCTCCCTGTTGCCTTTGTACCTCCTGTGCGATTTTTGCTTTGTTGCTATTTCTTTCCTCCCCGCTGGGCTTTGTTCAGCAGGTTTAAATAGTCCACGCCAGCAGTATCGGTGGCTGGAGTGAGATGGCAGTAAATCGGGCCAAACCACTAGAAATGCAAAACCGTGTCGCTCAGCCAAAGTCTTGGGCTGCTTCTTCTGGCCCTGCTGCTTCATGGGAGGGTTTTTTTTTGCTGAAGCATCCAGGACTCTGCCCGGAGTCTTTATGAGGAGAGTGTGGCCAAAACGCCTCAAGGGGAGGTCAGGAGCTTGAGCAACCTTTGAAACTCCCAGGTGCAAAGGGAATGAAAGCCCACGTGTAATGACCAAGTAATTGGGGCCCAGGAGAACTTTCCCAAGATGAGTCTGAACTTCTTCCTGATGGCTCCGTGAGAAAAGAACAACCAGCTGAGATGTTTGACTGTAAGACCTCTGGAGAAAGGACTGCTCTTTTCTCCTGTGCTCTGTGCCACTAGCCACCAAGTGTCCTGGTTCGTGGCTTAGCAGAGCACACGGGGAGCTATTAAGGAATATCTACCGTTTAGATTAAAAAAAACACAATTCCCTCTGGGAAGAGAGAATGAACCCCAAGGGAGACGCTGGGGATAAAGCATGGGGTGAAAACAAATAGGCTGAAGGTTTTGTGGGAACGGGTGATGCCGGGGACAGGAGATTTGGGGGGAGCCACAGGCACAGATGGTGTGGGAGATGTGATAGGGCAAACCACGGTGGTGTGCAGGAGCGTTAGAGAGAGGAAAAGTGGTTCCCTGTCCCTCTCCCAAAGGAAATGTTGTGGTTGAAGGGTTCTCCCAGTCCATCACCAGCATCTGAGGTGCAGCAGGAGGACCCCAGCACAGGAAACCAGCCTGGTACTGGTGATCTGCCCTGCTCCTCTCCCCGTACCCCAGTTTTTGGACCCATCCAGTGCTTCATGCTCAGAAAAGTCACTCCAGGCCATCAAGAACCCTGGTCCCCTGGTCTGCACCTTCTCCCCACATCCTACTTACTTGCACTTGTACTCTTGAACCAGGTCCCGGAGGCACCGCTCCTCGTTTTCCAGCCTCTCCCGCTCCCCCAGCACACACTCCAGCTGCTTCCTCAGGTTGCAGATGAAGTTCTCGAACACGGGCTCCAGGTTTCTCCGGGAAGCTGGCAGGACATACTGCTGCAGCAGCTCCCACTTGGTGGTCAACACCTTATTCTGCTGCTCCAGCAGCCGGACCTGGGGAAGGAAGAGGTGCAAGAGTCATGCAACCCCCCCTGTTGTCCCAGGCTTTGGGTTCCTCCACTTCCAAAAGGGAAAAATAAAAATAAGGTCAGAAATGTAAGTGGTGAAGTGCTGATTTCTCAGGGAGACCAGCATCTTCTCTGAGCTAATCCCCGCCCACCCAGGACTCGTATTTTGGGCTGAAATGGAGGTGTTTGCTCTGTGTTCAGACCAAGCATGGGTTTGACCAAAGAACAGCTCAACCCAACACCAGCTCTGCCCCCACCACAACTGCCTGGTGGAGGAGTCACTGCCTCCCCTGATGGGCTAATTACGATAATGAGTCTTTCGTGGCACTCAAAGCTCCATCCAGGATCTTGTTTGCATGTGTCTAATTTAGTTATCAGGCCTTTCACTTCTAGATTAAAGAGCTCTCTGGTACTTGAGAACCTTTATGGGTCATGAATAAGTCATTTTCCAAATGAGAGGAAGCCGAGCCTCCTCTTGCGTGGGCTTGGTTTTTCCAGCTGGGGAACAAGTCACAAGGAAAATCAAGACCAGACAGAGCAAAGGTTTCGCTGCCATTTGAAAAAAAATCATTTCCTATAACACATCTCTAACCAGCAATGAAAACCCTCGGGCTTAGCTCAGGAAACAAGGATAAATGATATCTGTTTAGGAAATCACCGAATCATTTCATTCTGAAGAATCATTTCATGGTGAAGGGACAGAGAGGTTCATAGAACCATAGAATGGTTTGGGTTGGAAGCAACCTTAAAGATCATCTTGTTCCAACCCCCCTGCCATGGGCAGGGACCCCCCCCACCACCGCCAGACCAGGTTTAAATTATTCATCTCATTTTTAGCTAAAATCTCTCTTCCTACATCTCCTTGACAAAGCACCCAAACTGTTCTCAAAATGCAGAAGTCCTTCAGAGTTTACAGGGGTGAGAGAGTGATGTCCGATTAGACATTCGTTATAAAACTTCCTATTTTGCCTTTTTCCATTTCCATGTCTCCATCCCTTCTCTCACTGGTTTTGGTTTCCTGGTTCCCTGAAGCCAAACACAGGATATTTGGCCTGATATTTGTTATTTGGCGATATATCCCGATTTAGCTATTTAGCAGATTGGTGACCACCGAAAGGTAAAATGCGGTTGCCTCGCTGCAAGGCTTCAATCCAAAGGGTCTCCAGGTCAAGACCACTGTGGTCTATCAGAAATGTTTAGAATATCAGGGTGCCAGGAGAAGAAGCTACTGGTGGCGTCTCTTTGGAGACTCTCCGTCCCCCAGAGCCATGGGGTGACAGCTCGTGCCGGGGGGAAGCGGGGGGGTCTCACCTTGTCGATGAAGCAGGCGAACTGGTTGTTGAGGTTCTTGATCTGCTCCTTCTCGTGGGTCCTCACTTGGCACTCCTCGGGGTCCACCCCCACGCAGAGGGGCTTGAGGAGCTCCGGGTGGATGCTGACGCCCCGAATCCCTTCGGATCTCCCTCCTCCCAGGCCGATGCCCATGCCGCCGCCGTAGCCTCCCATGGCCATGCCGTCCCCAAGACCTCTGTAGCTGCCCAGGCCCCCGTAGCTTCCGCAGTTACCGAACCCCACCACCGTGCCCATGCCAAAGCGGCCGCCGCCGTAGGCCACGCCGCAGCGTCCCACGCCGCCGGCGCCACCGTAGACCCCGCCGCGGCAGCTCCCGCCGAAGGAAATCCTCTGCCCTCGCCCCAGGTCGCAGACGCTCCGGCTGCTGAAGCCCCCCATGCCGCATCTCCGTCCCACCGGCGGGCAGACGGAGGCCGAGCTGCTGTTGCCCCTGCCCAGCCCGCAGACGGCCGATGCCGAGGAGAAGCCCCGTCTCCCCAGGATGGAGCTGGAGGTGTAGCACTGTCGACTCATGGTGGCCAAGGGGGGCAACGTGGTGGGGGGGAGAAGCACCGGCAAAGCAGGCGAGCGAGAGGAGCAGGGAGTGGAAGAAGGAGATCTCCTTTAGCTTCTCACAGGCAGAGCCCTTCTCCTTATATACATTCCAGGAGGTGCCTGAGATGCAAAAAAATTTAATTTATCCACTGGGTTTGGTCTGCCTGGCAGCAAGGAATGGCTTCCAACATTTCAAACCCACAGCAAACACTTCTATCTCATACGAAATAATGTGGAAATTAAAATAAACTGCTTTGCTTGCAAGCTTCAGTTTCAGGACTTATATTTTACTTAATTAATCTGCTTCCTTATTGTGTAATTATAGTTTAGCGAAATAATTCAAGGGGTTTTTATTCATGGCTTGTTTACGGTTCGGTTTCACCACAGCGTTTAATTATGTCTCAGGACCTCCTGCTGAACGTCGTGGAGATGCCGCCTCTTCCAGGGTCCCCGGCCGGCCCCAGGGCTGGCTCTGGAGCAATGGCCGGTGGCCACGGGGGACGGGAGGGACGGCGCAGCCGTGGAAGAGCTGGTGTCCTCGGGAGCCTTCCCATTCCCTCCTCTCCTGGGTATGGCTCAGGAGATCTGGTTGGGAAGGGGCAGGATGGGGGACGGGGTGGGGGGTTCCCTATGGATGGAGCATCAACGGGGCGCAACGGTGCCGAGGATGGATTTGGTCCCAGGGGCAAATTTGGAATGGACACACGGAGTCAAGGCGTTGGTCCAGCTGCCCCCCTTAGGATGTGTGGGATGGAAGATGGGGCATTTCTGGGAAGCTTTTAGCCAGTTTTATTAGGGCGATAAAGCGATTTATTGGCGAATTTTGCGCCGGGGGAAGGTGCTAATTGTGTGTGTAGTGCCTGGGTGTGATGCGAGCGGCGGGTTTGCGCGAGCGATAGCTGGAGACGCAACAAAGGAGTGAAGCGACGTGTTACAAACAGGTTGGGAAATGTTAGCCAGAGTGAACTTTTTTCCTCCTATTCCTGTGACACACCTGTTTGCCATGAAATTATTCTTCTAGTAATATCTGCTAATGAGAAGGTACCGCACCGTCTTAATTAAAATTCTTTAAAAGATTTTTTTTTTTTGAATTTGCTTGGAAACAAATAAAGTTCCTTTTCTGCCTTAACAAAGGGGTCTAATCACAGAATCACAAGTAGTTTCATAGCTTGCCCTAAGAAGTCTCTGCGTCTTTGCTGGGGCAAAATTAACTGGTTCTGGGAGGATTCCTAGTCAATGCTATTGTAAAATTGAAATAGGTTGCCTTGAATTAAAAATAATGCAAAGGAATTAGGATGTTTTAGAATATTTGTGGAGTCTCTCCAGGTAAAGATTTTCCTTTTTTTTTTTTTTTTCCTACAGGTCTCCTGATGGGTCAAAATGATCTAGAAAATGCTCTATGATGTGATTATAATGGTGCAGGAGTTCCCTTGTGGCTGCCTTGGTCGGAGCACATTAGGATGCACGACTTGCAATGAGAGGTAATTTCACGTGTGAGATTGAGATCGTTGGAAAAGGAGAGGAGCTTTTGGGCACTGAGCCCTTGGTGTCTCTCTGCCCGAGGTCAAACAAGCACTGGGACCTCTTGCTAGTAAGCGAAAGGGGGAAATATTTTGGAAATTTCTTTTATTTGTGCTGGGGCGTTGGTGCAAGTGTTGAGGAGACAGCTGGGTTTGTGGTCTGCAGAAAGCCTGGAGCACCACCTGGGAATAGGACATTGATGGATGGGCTGAGAAGTCATTTAGCCTTTAGGTGGGTCCATACGAGGTGACTTTCATGAGTTCTTTTGGGTGGGCATAACCACAGGCAAGGAGCAGCCACTCTCCGAGCTCTGCTACCCAACAGGAGCACAGAGAGAGACTCCAGCTCCTTTCTATGGCAAGAAAGACGTGTCCCTTCATCCTCGAGGGTGGTGGCTTGCCGGTTTTTCCAGCTGTAAGAGCTCTGGATCTGCTTGGGATCGGTCCCTGCTGTTATCCGTATCTCTGCTCAGCCACCCACCGCGGAGTGCCTTGTGCCACGTGGGTGATACACGCACCATTGAAATGCTGTAAACCCTCCAAGCCCCCGGTCCTGTTGAAAAGCAGGGAAAATGTTGCTGGTGGGACAACCATCCACATTCCTCCACTGGCTGTGAGCCCTGACATCCCTTCCTCTGTACAACGTGTTGCTGGGCTGTTTCCGCCTGGATGGAAAGCACCAAACCTGCACTTCAACCTCCAGCTCCTCCTCGCAGCCCTAAGAAGTGGCTTCTCTTGGGTGCCCAGCCTCGTACTTCAGAGGGAGACAGTTCAGGGCAACGCTTGTGGTTTCCATCTGCTGAGCTCTCACAAAGCCGGTTCCCCGTCACGTGGTGGAAGCCCTGAGAGCTGGTTACAGCATCTTCAAAGGAGGAAGCACTCTGATGTGATCCGGTCTCCTGGAGAGAAGCATTGCCATGGCTTTTATTGAGCTCAAGCTCAAGTCAGACACGAATGCCTTCTCCATGGAGACCTTCATGTCTCCGTGCTATATCCTGGCTGATGGCAGGTGAGATAGTGTTTGAAGAGCTGTAGAAAAGGACCTTCCTCTTTGAAAGGAAGAGATAAAACTACTGTTTTCAGTCTGACAGGATCCAGCAAGGCTTTAAAGCAGCAGCTTCCACCCAGATTGAGCGGGGAAACCCCTGAGGCCCTTGACTCTAAATATGCCATGGTGGCTTCCACGGGACTTACGCCTTTGAGATTTACATGTACCCAGATGCATTAGGATAAATTAATTCTGCTTAAACACCTTACTAAATTGGGACCTGTTAAACCATCCGTGCGGAGAGGGAGAGCCTGGGGGGGATTCCAGCCTCCTGATATGATTCTGGCATCCAAGCCTGCTTTATCCCAGTGAAAAACCACTTTTTTAAGACCCTCTTGTGAGAAAAGGGGGTGGGCAGGGATGGGCAGTGCTGGTGCTCTCCCTCCCTCCCCGCAGGCTGTGGCTCCTTGCGAAAGGGACCACCAAGTCCCCATTAAACTGGCTAACAAGGCCCCTTGGGACATCTCCCTCTGGTTTCGTGGGTCCAGCCCTCCAAAGGTGGCTGTTCCCAGCCTCTTTAACTGCAGCTCGATTCTTCTGCCACATCAAAGGGGACGGTGGAGTTGTGGGGACCGGGGTAGAGGTGATCTGGGCTCCTTCCATCGCCACTGGGCACCTTGCTTTCCTCCCAGTGACCTTGCTCTACAGCAGCTGTTCACCCTTGGCCTGGCTTGTCCCTGGCCACTTATGCTGATTTGGGGCAAATAAGATGGACAAGATATTTCCAGAAGGTTCCTTCCAGGCTGGTCATGGAGAATTGGTGGTCACCGCCAATACACACCATCTGCAGTGGGGCCAGACAAGACCTTGCTCAAACCTTTTCCTTCCTTCTGCAGTCTTTCTTCTGGACAATAGTAAAATGTGGGTGACCAGTGCCAGTCACAACACCAGTACTGGTGAGAAGACATGGGGATATCGTGGCAGTAAGCCAAGCAGAAGAGAGAATTGCCCCCAAAGGCCCTGTCTCATGCAAGGAACATGAAGAGCCACCAACCAACTGGAGCTGGGTGTCCTCCCTGCCTGTGTCCACTGGGACACTCTGGCCATGCTTGGTGCCCTGACAGCAGGTCCAGGTGCTTCGTTCAGGGCAACTTTGTCATATTCTGGGCAGTTCTTCATTGGTGTGGTGGAAAACCTGGGCATTGGATGCAGAGCTGCAGGTGACTTTCAGACAGAGCTTCTGTGACTCCTGGATGTTGAATGCAGCAGGCGGGTGCCAGCAGCAGCAAAAGCCTCTTTGGGTTTATAAAAACCTCAATTTTGGTGGCGTTACCAGCTGATCTCAGCCGAGGAGCTCTCATAGTTCTTATTTACCACCTTCTTTTGCAAGAGATGGGGTGTCCACCCCCTTCCTTCGTAAGGTTCCTCTTTTGCATAGGGCTTTGCAAGGCCATTTTTGCGTCATCTGACCAGCTTGGTGCGAACACTCAGGGCCCGATGGACTATTAGGGCTCTGAGTAATGGGGTGGAATCCGTGTGATGAAAGCACAACAGCGTTGGGGATTGCCACGGCCGAGGGAGGGCAACCACTGGCCACGAGGTTTGCTCTGGACGTGTCTTTCTGGGGAAAGGTGGGAAATCCTTGTGAAAGCCAGCCGTGGGAACCCACGTCGGATTTTGGGGTTGGAAGTTCTGCTGTACCCTGTCACAGGACAGTTGTCTCTTGTGTGCTACAGGCTTTTATTTATTTTTTTTCCCAGGAAACCTGTTCCTTCATGCACGGAGCCAAGCGGGGACTGCAGTGATGCCTTCCAGCAGCCGAGCCAACGGGGAGAGTGTGGGAGGAGGGAAATCCAGCCACTGAATTTCAACTAGTTCCCATCGATCGCTCTGTACCTCCGTGTCTGTGGGGGCACATGAGTATATCTCATAATGACCATGGGAAGTAGCTGCTTGGTGTGTGGTTAGTGTAATGGAGTTAATTTTGCAAACTTATAAAGAGGGTTCTTAAAGAAAGAAAAGGAAAAAAAAGAAGGGGAATTAGAGAGGATGCACAAACATTGCGTGCAGTTTGTTGGCAGCAGAGCAGAGAACACGGAGCTTTTATCACCTGTACGATCTCTGGGTGCTGCGTTGAGTCGAAATCATGGCTCTGCGGAGAGGGACAAGGGAGAGAGGTTCAGCAGAGGGCAAACCCTACCACTGGCCTTGTAAAAATGACTTGGCAGGGGAGATGATATCACTTCTGGCATGGGAGTCCTCTTACCTGGGCTCAGCTCCCCAAAAACTAGTCACCAAGTTGGGCTCCATGAATAGTCACTGGGAGAGCTTGGTGTCACCCAGGTTGTTTTCGAAAGCCACCAGCGCAGGAGAACCTGGAGGCAAGGAGTCATGCTTCGCAGGGGCATGATCCAAGAGCGGAGGTGGTATCTCCATGCAGCTAAAGAAAACACCTCTCCCCAGCAAAATAA